CAACATAAAAACATCTTAAAACACTAAGACACTACATTTTATTTATGATGTTGCTGTAATCGGGAAGGTCAGAGAGGTTACTAAAAATGTTAGGATTCAGTGTCTGGGGAGCGCTGGATGAAAGGTCAGGAGAGGTCATTGTGTTTTATGGCAGTCTGCCAGATGTTGTTGAAGTCTGTGGACTGAAGTGTTGGATGGACGGATGGATAAAGTCTTAAGAGGAACATAAATCAATAATAAACAATTCAATAAAGTGCTGTGAATATGAACATTCTCTGTATTATCTGGTTGTGGGCCCTGACATGCGAACTGTGTGTAGGATTGAATTCATACTGTATGCTTTGTACCACATACTTACACAATACATCTGTCTTTACTGTTGGGGGTCTTTTATTCCACTTCACGTCTGTATCATTTTAATTGTCTGATTTTATTTGCCTCTTTCCCTCCTGAAATGTTTTAAATCTTGGTTTCAGCCCTGTAAAGCACTTTTTACACTGTAACTTTTTTTGTATAAATAAAGTTTATTATTAATTATTAGTCTTTGATATGACAGAATGACATCATGCGACTGTAGCTACCGTATGGTACCAAGACATAGAAGACATTGCCCAGGAGTCTGTAATCATTTCTGTATTTGTCACAGCCACAGCCGTGCCTCAGTATGGGCCCCTTGTGTCCTGTTGTGTCCCCTGTTGGTCAGTGTGTTTACCTGCTCACCATCAACCAGTTCCTATCTCAGCCTGACAAGCCATTAGTTCATCACCTCGCCATCAGATCATTGTCTCTACTACTGCCAAAGGAGTACTACTGCTAAAGCCAGTGACTCCTGTTGTCACAGAACAGAAGACACATAAGTTATAGCCATGATCCATAGTAACCGAGTTTGAACGATGTTGCTTTATCCACTGTCTCGTCTTTTTAAGCGTATCTGCTGCGCCAGTAGCTACAAGCAGTGGTGTGTGTGTTGTGTTTGTGTTTTTGCCCTCTACTGTCAGTCACATTTTCCCTCAAGGGATATCAAAGCTCTGAATTGGTCTGATAGTAACATCAAACCATTCAAGTATAAAGTTTCTGTTTATCAGATTCGCCACAGTATTTCTAAAGATGACTTCATACCAAAATGTTGTGTGCCCACTCGTCGTTAAACTTGATAGCATGGATCTTTTCCTGCTGTTTCTACGGATTAGTATGAAGAATCCAAATCATGCATTTAACTTCAAAATGAAATCTTTATTCAATTACATAGAAAACATCAGTTTACAGTTTGATCATCAGTTTGAAAAGTGCTGAACAGAACAACAACAACAAAAGTAGACATGATCAAGAGAAACATTGATTTACGATTTTAAAGAAACTGACATCTGCATCTACAACATTGCCCAGCAATGTTTCCCATCACACAAAATTTTCACACAAATTGTATTAAAAAAATTAAAGCTAGGGACTAAAACTATCACCAACTACCTGTAAAATACTGTGAAATGTTGGTTGGCCCTGGTGGGTTTAACCAACCTGAACTTTGGGTTAGCGTTACTTGCACTGTGCCCTGGAGGTACGAAAACTGTATGTGTTTCTTTATGGAGCAGACCACAGTGGAGGTCGGCTGGTTTGGAGATGAAACTAAAAAAGATTTCAAAGTGCTTCATATAACTCAAGATACCCAAACATCCTCGTCAGACATTTTTAAGGAGATCCATCAGACTCTGCAACATTTAACCCGTTTTGTCACTGGAAGAGGTTCACTCCTAAAGGCAATTAGTCCTATTTGAATTTATTTTTATGTTATGGTTACTGAAAAATATGTTTGCTGTTTGAATAGAATATTCTGTTATATCTTGTAGTGGTTTTCTGTGTGTAGTAGTCTAAGCAAAGCCCCTTCGCCCTCCCTCGTCTTCCTCTGAGCTCAACACTTGTCTCTTCACATGACGGGGTAGCTGGCGAGGTTGGCGATGCCGCAGAGGTTGCCACGGTTACGTGCCATCAGGATGTAGCCTTCTTTGCCCCAGCTCTCGCCCCAGCTGTTGGAGATGACGACAGAGGTGGAAAGAAAGAGGCATTAGGGTCGTTGAGCATCGCCAGGAGTCAAACGGCATTTCAGCTCATCAGTTTGTCACCAACATGGCCGACAGAAGATATCAAATCAACGCTAGACCATCATGAGGCCCCTATGAGCCACCTGATGCCGTTCAGACAGGTGATGTGACCCACCTGTTCTTGACAATCCAGTACTTCTTCCCCTTGGCGCTCACTCCAAAGCCCACTGCCAGCACGGCGTGATTGATGTCGTCTTTGTTACAGTTGCTGTCGTAGTAAACACCTGGGCACATGACAGAGAGGAAGAGTGAGTGAGGAGTCCACCATTCCTGCACTGGCTTCAGATTACCAGATTCACAGGGGAACAATACATGCATGTATTCTGGCACAATTTTATCTCATTGGTATCAGGCTCACTGTGTACTGTTTGCTGTCTTTACACAGTGTCAGAACTGTATTAAGTTGCTCCTAATATAACATCCAGTCCAAGTGTCACAGTGGTAAGCGCTAACCGTGATTGCTGAAACAAGATGAAGCAACCACAGTGACGTGCTAGATAAAGAGCCACAGGCGTCAGGATGCACACTTGTGTCACCAAATCAACCACTGAAAACTTAAGGATTATAGTTTTAAAAATATTGAGTCTAAAAATACTGAAATCAGCATGTAAAATACTTAGTATTTTTAATTTGTAGAATCTAAATTAGCCCCAAGTTGCTTTAATCCTAGGATCCCTGGATTCTTCAACATTCAATATTTTAGAGTTGACTGCAATAAAACTTTGCATTTGTGAACTATTTTGTATTTGGTTTGTTGTAGTTCAACAGACCCTCGTGAAATATTAAATGTCAGAGCCTATAAACTGCATTACAATGCGAAAATAACACTACTTTGACAGGAAAAGTTAAGCTGATTGAATTTTTCAAGTTTCAAGCCTCCGCATAATGATTTGTATCAGAAAGGTCATTAGAAAGGGGAGTGATTTAAACATATACACTGTTAAAGGGCTAATTAAGGATAAATAAGTACATTTAGTGTTACGTCTGTGTTGTTCACTGACCTTTGGTGTAGAACTGGAAGGTGCTCAGCGTGGCGTCGATGCCCACAGATACAGGACCCTGTTTAAACAGTGCAATAGCCAGCTTGTGCTCATCGCCCACTGGGACCTCCATGTAGTTTTTGCACTCTGCTGCCATGCCTGATGAATTGTAGCGGCATGGCTGGTCCTGCACACGAGACAACGGAGGAGAAAAATGCAAAAAATGTTTGTTTCAGATTTCTGTAGTCAATTTGAGCTGAAAAAAGCAGTTTGTATGTTTTTTTTCAGTCATTTTTCAAACAAGAATGGCAAACATTTTATGGTTCCAGGTTCTTAAATGTGAAAATTTGCTGCAAGACATCTGATGACGTCACATTAGGGTCTGGGAAATCGTAATGTGAATTTTCACCAAACGAACCAAAGGAAAGTTGGTTAAATCGATAATGGAAGTTGCAGCCCTGTGCACGCAGCCTTGTGACTTTGCTTGCACTCTACAGTTCACGTGACATGTCTTATCAAAGCCACTGTACATTCCGATTATGCAAACAATGGGATGACTGCATTCTTTAATCATTAATAACCAGTTGTACTTCCTTCTAGCACCAATAGATCACTAAAGAGGAAACAGTTTGCTTTGTAACACAGTGGGAGAGTTTCTACATTGTCATTTCTGCTAAGTCATTGTTACATATTTGCTGAATAAAGAGAATAACTTTTTTTTGTGCATTGAAACATGTGACTGTACCAAGTGTGACACCCTGACAGCCAAGTGAGGAACCCCTGACCACTTTGGTTTCAGTCTGTCTGCAGTTCTGTTGTGGGAAACAGACGATTTCTGGAAGCTGTTGTCATTTAGATTTTTTTTGTGAGACTGCTGAGTATTTAGTACCATTATCAATATCACCCTCGTGCTTGTACTTTCAATATGAAGCCGGAGCCAGCAGCTAGGGATTTGTAAAGTTATTTCTCCTATATGACATTTAAATAGTAACACTTTTCTGTGGCTTATTATTTTTCCTTTTAAAGAGTATTTTGTGCTTTTGTTGCCTTTATTTGATAGTGCCAGGAAAGTGGGGGCTTATAGAGGAGGGATGACATGCAGAAAATGGCAGCAGGTTGGAATTGAACCCAGGCCGGACTCAGGACTCAGCCTTAGTACTTGGAGCACATGCTGCACCAGGTGAGTCAACAACAGTATGAATTAGTCTCATAACAGAACAGCTCTTTTTCATTTTGAATGATCAATATAGCAATATGTTTTGGTCATTATCATAGACAGGGTTATTTTGGGGTGCAACTGTCTGAATGTCTTCTAAGGGGAGGCCCACAGTGTCAGACTTTGTAAACCCCTGGCTGGGTAAGAGACTGCTTCTAGTTTGTGGCCACAGAACAGGATGTCGCACCACAAACAGCAAGGGATCACATGATAGGAAAGTCAGATGCTTTACCTCAGTCTCAGGACACATGAGAGTTTATAAGATAAAGAATTTTGACCCAAGAAAAAGTCTAAGATTATTATTATATTTCTTAGTTAATTTCACATGGCATTGAGGCTTTCTTACCTCTCCGACGTATGGGTAGGACTCTTCGGAGTCGATACCTCCGTTGTTTGCCACGTACTTGAAGGCGTTGGTCATGTATCCCCCTCCGCAGCCGTCGTTCTCTGTGACGCAGTCCACCAGGTTCTGGGGACTGAGGTCCAGCAGCTTACCCGTCGTCTTGGCCAACAGACCCTCGAGGGCCCCAGCAGAGCTGAAGGCCCAACAAGAGCCACAGGAACCCTGTTAGTGAACAAAAGACAGGAGAGTGAGTTGTTTCAGTTTCATCATATAACAGGCTACAGTAAGCATACAGTAAGAGAGAAATAATGAACAGAAATGCATAAAAAACTATGGAGTTTTGAGTTGGTTGGTTAGAGGGTATATAAGAGTATGTATATTTCCATCCAGTTGTGCATTTATCTAAATGATAGGAAAATGGAGGTATGACCAAAAAGAAAATCAAGTCAGCCAAAAGGACTCGGTGGGTTTGGATTAGAGCTGAAAGAATTAATTAAAAGTAATGGTTTAACAGTAAATGAATAAGCAACTATTTTGATAATCAATTTATTGTTTAATTGTAGCTCCGGGTACCCAAATGTGATGATTAGGTGCTTTTCTTTTTCTCATGTGATAGTAAACTGAATATATTTGGGCTTTTAATTGTTTGTAAGTCAAAACAGGCATCTGAAGACAACACCTTGGGCATTTTTCAGATAATTAGAGACATAAAAACAAAAAAGCACTTTAGTTGTGTCTTCTCCTTCCTGTCCACTGGAGGGCAGACTTTAACAACTTTGATTCAAAAGACAGTTCAGTTTGTCAAATCAAACAATGTCGCTGTTTCTAATACAGGCAGTTTGAGTGGTGCATGCTGGGAGGAGAAGGAGCACACACACTGAGAAATGGTTGGACTGATACATCCCACATATTAACAGTGTGGCCCAAACCATTATTTCAGGCCTTGTTAAAAGCAGCTATTTGAGTTTCAAATGTTAAATGTTGATGTGTTTTTCTTTAAAGACCTCGATCCCTGGTCTGTGCTTGAGAACACAGCCGCTGTTATGGTGTTATAGTAAAGCTCCATTAGAGTCATTGTTTGACTATAAACTGTTACACGGCTTTGAACACCTCTGCTCTGCTCCTCCTGAAGGAAAACACTCTGACATTCTGCTGTGAGTTGCTCCAATTAAAAACTCTGTAAATGTGTAATCACAGCAGTGCACTGGAGGATGTTCCCAGTGTGGCTTTGAGCTCTGGTATAACAGAAATTGGCCTCAAACAAACACAACATCAAAATGCTATTCAGTCATCATAAAAGGAGCTGGGGAGGAAGGAGCAGGGTTGTTAGTATGCAGAGAGTGCAGTCAGTCTGCTGAATAATTCATGAACAACAGGAAGCCAGGGAGCAGCTCGATAAATCCTGTTTAAAGCTGCAGTTTGATTTTCAGCCACCAGGAAGCACCGTCCTCCACATAAACTGGCTGCATTTACAGGAACTATTGGTATTATTACTGGAAATGGAAATAAAAATCATGTTTAAATTGTTTCCTGTCTACTTTTATAACCATCTGAAATTCATATTTTTCAAATGTTTGGAGTTTTCATGTGTGCAGAGCAAAAAGATCATGAAAGATAACTATTATAAGAAAATAAATGGAAAGATATTTTTATATTCACCAAAACATTGAAACACCAATTCTTCTGAAATATTATGACTATTATATTATTACATACAGTAAATGGTTTAATCATTTACACTGGATACTAAAACAAAACATTTTAAAGCACATCATTATAACAAAAATAAAAACTGAGCTTAAATATCTCCTGACTACTTCTAAAACTAGCTAATTAGGCCAAAGTAAATGAAACAATGAATTTCTGAACTGTGAATGTAGAAAATAATGTGTTTGCATCTCAGAAAAAGAAAAGAGAACCTGTTTTTGTTTGCCAGAAACACAAACAAACAAACTTCAGTGTCAATAAAATATTCTATATTTAGTAAAACTAAACAGCAAATGAAAAATTGCATTGTAGTCTACGTATGATTGCGGCTGAGCCTCCAGGTCTTCAGCATCAGCTCTGATATTAGATAACATGAAATCATTCTGCTGCTAATCTGCCTGCTGGCACAAAGCACAGATGTAAGCCATATTTCAACTTCCTGTTCTGCTCAACCCTTGTTTACATAAATAAGGCCCGGCTGTCCCATCCACTCATAATGACTAATTACATTTAATAATCAAACCCTTTCTTTTGTTTTCAAAGTCCATTAGCGGTGAGAACTGGCTGTTTCCTCCGGCTGCTTACGTGATTGTACTCCACTGGGATTGTTCGCTTCCTTTACTTTATTGCAGCACGGAAACAAGGTTGAAAATGAGTAGAAATGGAGGCTGTTTTCAGCTATTTTCTGAAAGCCTTTTTTCCGTGGCAAAAAGAGAAAATATTTACCACATAATGAACGACATTCAGCCTTTTTGAGGTGCTGCTGCTCTTTGGAGAAGGCCACTGCTGGCACACGTTGGGGGATGTTTTGTGTCTCCAGGACATGTTCCAATTACTATTATTAATTACTAGTATGTGAGGATTATATGAGACCCAAAAGGCTGAAAAAACAAGGTTTATGTAAAAAATAAATAAATGAACATATTCACAATTCTTTCATAATTGTAAATACTTCTTTTCATATTTTCCCACACTGATCTGCTGATCATTTAAATAATGTTCACATTTCTAATTGAATATTTCCAGATCTTCATGTTATTTTATACTTTCTTTATATGTTCCCAGCTGATGTCATTATTTTTGACTGCATCAGTCACATTTCCCCGCAGAAATCTATGTGTTTGCCTCTCAACAGTTTACCCGAAAACAGCCTTGGGAACTTTTTCTCTGTTTTCCCCAAACCCTCAAACAAACATCACACATGCCTAAATACAACACAACTACTATCTCATATTCTGGTTACACAGAACACTACAGACAGGAAATGAAAGCTCAAAAAATACAAACCAGTTCTTCCACTTCCCCATAAATAAGCGTTGCTTCATACATCTCATGTCTCTGCTGTGTCAAACTGTTTTTGACATATTTTTTTACTGATGGTTTACCTACAATTTGCACTGTCACTGTTTACCTGCTCATCCAAGAGCCTTCTTCGACTATTGTGGCTCACCTATTTCTCCCATTAACTGAGACCGTACCAGTAAAAAACTCTTCAGAGGCAAGTTAACCAGCCCTGCATTCACCAAAACCAACGAGTTTGTCTTTATCCTTGTTGTCTTTTGTAGAACCGAAACATATGAACCACCTCCAATAAAGCATTAATCTCACTTTTTACTATCTCACTGTCTCTTGTCCAAGTACAGTTTCGAGTAGGGAAAATTTTCTTCACCTCATTCAGGCACACCAAGCCGGAATGGACTAATTTCTGCCCTCTAAGGCAACGACAAGCCCGCTCCTCTGTCGAAAACAAACTTGGACAAGCCTTTCTTATGGAAGACATTTTGACATGTCACAGTAGGAAAAGCACAGGTGTAAATAGAGAAATGAATGATGTCTGAATTCTATTTAGCTACTTCAGCTCCAGGGTCTTGTTCATACTGGTTCAGTGTCACGGCTTAGTGGGTCACTTTAACAGAACGGAAACACTGTCACAACAGTGCTTTTCCTGATAAGTCAAAATACCTGCTGTGAAAAAGGCCTTATAGCAACAGAGAGACGAGATTTATCCTCTATCGGAAGTGATGTAATGTTTTGGTTTTACAAGAGAGGCTTTGAGGACGAGGACCAAGTGGTTGGTCTGACTCTCACGGACTGCATACATAATAAGATGAATCAGCGTACATTGTTATGCAGTTTGTACTAAATACACTAAGGGTGAGATGTGAACTAGATAATCTCTGACCTGGTTCTTCACTGGAGTCACCATGCCCTTCTTACGGTAGTCAAGATATTTTGGAAGCCTGGTCACGCTGTCGTTCAGAGCCATGTTGAATCTGCGCTGGTGGTTAATCGGGAGCTGCAGGCCAGTCATCTTCTCGGACACTTCCTCTGACGTCTGCGTGAACAGAGACACGGTTAACATTTCAGTTTTAGGTTCTAGGGCTGTTTATGAAGCTCAATGGCAGGCTGAGTTTCTGGGTCAAAAACAAGAAACAAAGAGTGCATAAGTTAGGGGTTACAGGTTGTGCCACTCTGACAATAGATTGTCTGAAACTTTCCTCAGTTGCTGGAATAATCTCGAGAGATAGGACTGTAGAGGGACAGGAACAGGAGAAGAAAAGGCACAGAGGATTTATTTTTAGACTTAAGACAAGAACAAGCAAAAGAAGATATGGCAAAGGGAGGATTTTATTCAGCAGGGTGACGGAGGATGAAAAGTATTTCATGAAGAGATGGGTTTAACACAGTTTACACCAAAGTGAAATGTCATGTTTTTGCACTGTACAAATGTCAAAAAGTGACAGCAGAAGGGGCATGAACACACACATAAAAAAGCTGCACAATTTACAAAACAATGCCATAAAAGGAGAAGCAGATGAGGAGCATGAAGAAATTTAATTTAAATTAGGGACTCCCGTGCTGTTTGCTGGCTGTCACAATGAAACTGCTGGTTATAGCATTATTTTAGATAAAAAGTGCCATTTATTATTATAAGAATTCCCCAGTGCTTTCATTACAGCTAAGTCTGTAAGCAGGAAGATCATTAACTGAAGGAATACAGACCATCTGTTAATTTTTTTCATTGCACTTAAGTGCTTCCAGTCAAAATGAAAATGGAAACACATCCTTCATTTTCTGTTCTTGTTTTCTGTTCCTACATAAACACAAAATTGGCTATTTATCCAGAATTCGGATGCGTATACACGTTCCTGTCACTAATAGATGAGCACAAGCACTGGCATGCCATATTTTATGCACTTTGCTTTCCACCCATTTTTGATACACAGCTTGTTACAGCCGGCATCTTGATGGAAAAACAAACATCAGTCATGACCCACTCTGACATACATGTCATTGAGTACAGTTGATTTAAGGACACAACCCCCCTTTTGTTTCATCTCAATGAGCTGCAGCCTTCATGAGCGAAGCAAAAAGCAGATGACAGGAGCGGATATATGACTCTCTGACGCTAAGGAGCTGGTTTTCAACGGGTTTTACTTCATACATCCCTGAATTCCCTGTTTCTTGTACATAATGTGAGACACTGGTGGAAAAATGAAACTGGATTTTCACAAATGAATGCCCTTAGTAGACAGATCAATTATCACTTGCTACAGCTGCTAATGGCAGTTGTATCTCAACTTGTGCTCTGGCTGCACAGCGAGGCTGTTCAGACTGTAGATGAAAGTGACCCAGTGGTAGAGCTGCAACAGTTAGTCGACTGACAGAAAATAAATTGGCAACTAGTTTTTTGTCATTCTTTATGTAAAAATGCAAAACATTTGCTGGTTCCAGCTTTTTCAAAAGTGAGGATTTGATCCTTTTCAATGTCTTAAGTTGAATTGACTTTGACTTTCTCTTGCGGGGGATCAATAAAGGAACATCTTATCTTGTCATACATGGTAGTAAACTGAATCTCTTTGGGTAATGGACTGTTGGTCAGATAAAACATCTTGGGCTGTTGGAAATTATAATTCATTCAGTCATTTTACACTGTTTTATGATAGTTAATTGGAGGAAATTATCAACGAATTAATTAATAATGATAATGATAATAGTTCGATTGTTTTTCTAATCTGTAAAACCTGAATGTGTGATTCAATATTAGATCCTCAGGCATATGAATGGCAAACAAGCTATATAATGGTGTGACAGTTGGTACATTTTTACAGTTGGGCAGAGCCAGTGATATGATGGAGAAAAAACGATAAATTAGTGACTTGACTGGTATTTGGCGATTAAGTCGAAACTGGTGTGCCATATGTAATCATGCTACATGACTTTTATGTCTTTTAAGATTGTCACTGTGCCAGTTTATGTGATTGTAGTGGCATTATGATGATGGTGAGAAACACGTCAGACTATCCATCAACCAATCACAGCCTTCTGAGAGCAGAAATGTCAACAACGGAATCTGAAACATCAGAGGCCACGTTGTACACAATGTTAATATAAAGCAGAAGAATGATTGCATGTTGGGGCTGATATTATGGAGTCTGGCATTACATAGGATGAGATATGACAGTAGAAATGTGGCTTTGAGCACGCAGGACCGCTTCAGACTCACCATGTCACCCAGGTGGTTCATCCCCATCTCGTAGGAGTGCATGCCCAGTGCTGCCTCCTGGTTGTGGGCCTCAATCATACGCATGTTCTTTTCCCAGACGGCCCTGCGAATCCCTTCTTCATCCTGAGACAAACGAGTGCATGTGTCAATTTGAGTCAAAATATTAAGTCTCTTACAGTCTAGAAATGACCTTTGGAGGAACAAGCCAATTATTTTAACCAGACGCTGATGGGCTTCATAAGGAGGTCATAAGATACACAGATTCGGCTATCACCTATATTTCACTCTTAACTTTTGCCTCCCTTCCTTCCTTTCTGCATTAACACCTGACAGCTCAAAGAAATGAATCTGGGCAAATAGGTCAAATTTACGTTTTAATTAGAAAGGAAAGGAAGCTTGTCTGTGTTACAGCCCCATTTCATTAATTAGCACAATTAAACCAGTGCACGTTCACCAAGCAATGCTCCTTACTACTGCTAATATAGCAACTATCCAATGAAGCTGTAATTTGTGCTAGAATATTGCTTTAACCTTTATTTTTAGAGTATTTGCATCTCATCAGCAGTATGTGTATTATGTGCTAAGAAAGAGACTGACTTTCATTAATAAGCACGCTGTTGATGTCCGTCACAATATGGGAATAAGATACAGCCAAGTGTTTGGTTAGTTACCTACAAAACATCCATGCTCTACTTAGTATTCGTGGTCTTAACAACCATTAGCATAAGTATAATCATTTTATCTTGATATCCATTCCAGTAATGGAAAATGCAAATGATGCAAGGAGACTTTGATTCTATTACATTGATGTCAGTTCAAGGAAGGTTGAATTAGAGGAACTGTTGGAGGAATACTGATTAAATCACCATGGGAAAGAGAGAGAGCAGCACTCTTTTTTGCTGACTACACATGAATGTATATATAACACACAACTAATGATCATATGAACACATTTAAATAAATACATGCATGTACAGACACAGATAAAAGCAACATAAAGTGCACAGGCTCACATACTATTTATTAACCCAGGCACATGCAGCACTGTAGATAAACTGCACACATGTATCTACAGTATACACACAGAGACACAAACAAATACACTCCACAGCTGTGGAAGTGGTGACCTCTAGCCGGAGGTGAAGAGTGGAGGGATAACATATGCTCACTGAGCGCTCAGGAAGTACATTCGTGGTTTAACACCAACTAAACTACATTTCCTTCCTTCTTCACAGCCAGGAACCTGAGCAAAATAGGAATTTTAGCGACAGAGAAACTGAAAAATGAGGGTAAAGTACAGAGTGAAAGGTGAAAGGAGTTTCCACTGTTTTTTGACACCTGCTACAGTTCAGTATCAAAACTAATGGGTTAAGTCAACCTCAACTAAAAACTAAAGCATTGAGCAAGGGTGAAACATTTTGTCCATGTGTATACAGGTGAAGCCCTAATAGGACCTCCTGAATCAAAGTTAATAAATAAGTTTGGTAAAAGTAGGTCTACAGCCTTTTGGAAATTAACTTTTCTGAATTACTGGCTTAGAATGAGAAAGATTAAGTCACTGTAAATTCTCATTGTGCATGTCCTGCTTTACTTTTGATTCTCTGTTCTATAACTCCATCTGTCTAGTTTCTCCGGGCCAAAACATGGAAGTGGAGCAACCAGTGCCGGCCTCACATTTCGGGATTTTCCAGTCCAAATTGTTTCCAGCAGCATTCAAAGTACAGAGCCTATTGTATGTCTGGTAAAAGAAAAACATGATGATATGTTTTAACATATCTATTAAAGATTTACAGCGAGACAGATGATGTTAGGTACGGCTGTGTAGGTCGTTTGTGGAAGCAACCCATACAACCCAGATTTACTTTTCACTGGGTGGAAGTTATGGTGGATGGATGGGTCAAACACACCGAGACTTTCCCCCAGGAGACCGCTGTGGATGCCCCCATGTAAAACCAAAAGTCAACATTGACTTGAACTTATGTTAACATACTTAACTTATGTCACACATTAACGTTGACTTTTGGTGCCACCGAACCAAACTGTAACCGTTTCACAGTGTGACGAAGAAGGTCCAGTAGGTACTGGCCATCACTAGCGCTCTCCAACACTCATATAGGTAATTTTGTGAGTCATTAATTAACCAATAGTAGTTTAGGTATGAGGACCTGTAGGACAATTGACAGTGAATATGTGTAACATGGTATATATATTTAATGTTAGCTATTAAGTACTATTATTATTATATTAAGTTACCTTTATACTCACTTATGTTTATATACTAATATTTTATTTTTTATTTTTACTGCAATCTTTGCTCTTGCGATACAATTGTCAGCCCTCATAGCAACTAAAGCATTATCAGACATTTTATGGTTATGTTTAGGCATGCACAGAACTTAGTTAAGATTAGAGAAAGATTATGGTCCTGCTTGGAGGGAAAAGGGGCTTTGGCGAAAAACAATGTCTACCAAAAAAAATGTCTACCAAAGATTCCTCTCTACCAACTGAGCAATAACATGAACAAAGACAAATATGCCCAAAGCAAATTTTGTTAATTTGTAACCCCTTGCCTTTGCAGTACTTGACTTGGACTGGCAGCATCAACAACAATATAACATAACATAACAATATTCACAAATCATTAAGGTCTGGTAACTCTCATCCACTGTCCTGTCTGTTTGCTGGTTTTATCTTGCTGATGTTACAGTCAACAAGAAATAATACATCTCATTTTCTTTGAAAAAAGAATAATGCACTATTTTAACAATTTTGATAAGATCCCACACAAACGACTAACATACAACACTGGATGTTAGCAAAACAACACAATAAAGCCTGCCAAATTGAGATCTGGCATTGGCCTCGAGTTACTCAGAACTTCTAGACATCTGCTCTGTTTAATGTTCTCTCAACATAGCTGCATTCCCCCGAATAAATATCCACCAGACTGGCGACAGTAGAATCCGGCCAGCTAAGAGAGTGGAGACTAACACTGAACTGACTGGCCGTTAAATTAAGTCAGCTGTAGACTGACAGTGAGTCAAACCCAAAGATGTCCACATGTTGAGCAATTTACTGAAGTACAAAGAGAGAGAAAAGGGAATATAAACAGCCTAAAGGAAGAAGGAGACAGAGGTAAAGAAGAGACAAATGCACATCTAAACACAGACACAGATAAGGGGTTAAAGTCACTGACACTCTTTCAAGATAAATGTTCTGATGAAAGACTTTGAAAGTCGGCATTGAAAAAGGAGACTGCTCAGTAAACCCAGTGTGGTGCACTCATTCTAACAACTAAAACTCCAGCTATAATGAACATTTGACATCCATTACCATTAATGCCATTCTGACTTTTCCCTCTGTCACTCTACTGTTCCCTATTTCTGTCTCCTCACTTTTGACTGAACTTCTGCAAAACAGAGAGCTTTTTAACTCAGCAGTTCTGGCTAATTTGCATACGAAGTCAGATTAGTATGTCAGGATTTATAAACTTTTATGGTACATTTCTTTAAAGAACAATTTGGTTTGTACAAATCCCATCATGGGTTTAGATGTGGACTGTGGTCTGTCAATAAAATATGAAGCTTCACCATGAAAGTACACAGATTCATTGAATTATGTAGCTTATAAATCAGTATGTTTTTTGATTTCATCATCTTCCCCAGAAAGCAGCATTGCTGTTACAGAAAAGTAAGTTTTAAGAATTGGAATCATGGTGGTTTCAGATAGTATAGGGGAATAGGGGTGTTTGGCAACAACAACAACAAACAAAACTTCATATTCGAAAAATCCAGCAAAAATGGACAATCAGCAAATTCCCAGAATCAGTTGCAACACATTATATGCAAAATTGCTATTTTATTTTTAAATTGCTGAGGTGTGTGTATTAACCCTGACCCACTAGTTCAACTTGTTGTGTAAAATAAATACAATTCCTCATACAAAATGCCATCACATATATTGTTGGTTTCAGATAAACTCTTATGGGCCTTACTTGACTGGTCCTAAGGCTGTGGAAGTACCTCTCCTGTCACCCTTGGAAAATCAGTTTTTAAATCTAGATAATGTCTTCAAATCTACTACTTAACACGTTCACATGGTAGAGGACTATGTACTAAAAACTGCTATACATTTTTGAACACATAGCTGACACTTACCAGGCCATTATATTCTTTCCTGTGTGTGATCTTCCACTGTTCCCACTGGGCATCCAGAGATGCTTCATCAAGGTGGCCCAGAGCTGAAGCTGCCAGCAGCAACACGCAGACAAACTGCAACATCCTAAGAGAACAACATACAAAACCTAATGTTTTATATGCACCAAATCAGGGCTTAAATACACATACAATAAGGCTTTTACTACAAGTTGAGTATCAGCTGGAATTCTTTTTCAGTGACGTTAAAGTCAATTCTCCAATGAATAAAAGCATATAAGATAAAGCATCAGTTTGTATGGTTTTCTGTCACATGATGGTTTCAATCACTGAGTTGCACTCGTGTGCCATCGAGGACAAGGAGCATGTTAGTTTATATTTCCAGGGAAACCTTCCAACACCTAACTTTGGAGGGAAAACCTGCATCCTGTCCAGCAGTCAGTGGCATAAAACAAACAACTGCTTGAGCTGTTTCCAAAGGAATTTACTGAGCTTATGTTCATAGACTTTCTGCTTTTTTTGGCCACGAGCAGGATAAAATTTGAAGTGAGAAATTAAATGTATATCAGCTTCATACAATCATATAAGTACCAGCCACCCGATAGCCCAAAGATTCAAACTTTTTGTTCTGTTTGAAAAAGTTTTCTACGCTTTCTCAATGCATTTTCAAGACCAGACTTGAAACATTCACTGCAGCTTGAACTTTTTCACCCCCCTCTGCCTCTCTCCGCTTTCCTGCCATCTGTCATTCATCACCTTCACCCTGTTTCTCTCTTCTTTTACTACATCCTGCTTCTAATCTGCATTTGAGTCCATTGTTTCCAGTACAGGCCATTGACCAGTTAAGTTTAAACTAAAAGCAGAAAACAAACTGTTTGCCTTAACTTCGAGGGTGAACCGCTTTCCATTTTCTGCTTCCTACACACATTGATTATGTCTATGTCCTTGCCTCTGGGGGGTGCCATGATTTACATAGCAAGGTTTCATGATCTATGCAAATCACAGTTAATCTGTCTCTGTAAGAATCCCCCTCATGGTAGTTTCTTTATGTTTTAGAAATGAATTCATGTTGTACATAAAGCATCAATATTTCAAATTAAATGTTTTGATCATGTCTTTTTCCATGAGTACGCGGCATTAACTCTGCTCAGCTCCCAGTTAAAGCTGCTGCTCTGACTTCCAGAACTTTTGAAGGTGCAACTGGGTCAAAATCATTCTCTAATCCTATTAAGACTAATTACTTTCTTAGCTGGCAAGAAATTTATGAATTTATCTGAGCTTAAATTCAAAGGTAAGAAATCTTAAGAGTCAAACTGAAGTAGTGAAGTGAATTATATATCGTTTTAGTGCAGTTCAGCTCAGTTACACACAAGTTACTCTAGTGCAAAACTATTAGTCCCTTTAGACTGATTTCTACTAACTCTAAAGCTAAAGCTCGTTCAAGTGAAGGAATTCACAAAACTGAAAGTAAAACTTTGTACCAGGAAATCAGTAAACTTGAAACTTTACCTTTAGTCCGAAAGTCAAAGAGTTTGGTGAAGTTTTCTGGGTCTGACTCCGTGTTCCTCTACTGTCAAAGTAGGTCAGTGTGTGAGTTTATATCGGTTGGATTTTGAGGAAGTACACTGGGAGCTTTAGGTCGGGGAGGAGTTTCTTTTTTTCCTGGCAGGGGAATTACATCTGTTTTCACTCATATAGCAAACATCCCAAAACCAGATGATGTCAGGTGTCGGATTTCACAGGCACCTCTGAAAACTTCACAGTCAGTGAACACAACGCTCTGTTGCATTCTGAGGCCTAAAAAATGAAAAAAAGCTCTGGGATCTTTTATAAAAATGGCATCTTGGACTTGGAATATTTATCATACTGTTATAAAATATGAACATGTGTTTAGTTCTTGGCAATAATGTACAAGAATCAACATGGAATGAAAGAGGAAAAGGCCTAAAGTTTGAACTTTTAAGTATAGTCTGCTTTCAAGTTTATGCTAAATCATTCTACACACTAAGAAATCAAGGTACAGGAATGGACCTAAAAGGGTACAAATGCTTTGTTGTTCCAGCCGTACCTAGAGTCCAACTGTACCTTTGACCATGGTACATTTTTGTACCATCTTTTCTGTAGCTAAAGGAACATTTCCATACCTTGTGAAAAAAATTGTTTTTTTATCCTTTATTTATTCAGGGTTGGTTCACTGAGTAGAAGCCTCCCTTTTGCAGGAATGCCCTGATTACATTCGCACTGTTACACATTCGTTCAGTCAATTCTGTCTAAATCAAAGGCCTAAATCAACTTTTACACTCTGTAAGCTTCAGCAGGACTGACTGCAAGAGCACTTGCCATAGCAGACTGCAGGGCAACAAAATGGATTGCACTAACCAACTCTGCAGGAGCTCCAAAAGGGAGGGCCACGGCATGAAATTAAGAAAACAGAAAAACTAGTCCTCACGGAGGAATGTGAGTGAGTGAGTGTGCATTTCTCTGCAGTACAATGTTCACTCAGACATTACACATAGACTGTTGCTCTAACCAAAAAAAAAACAAAAAAACATAACCAAATGTTATTACGGTAGCTAGCTAGCTATGATTGGATCATTTTGAAAAAAAATACAAATAAAAATAAATTAAAAGGTATTAAGACTGGATGATATGGTGATTTAATTTGGTCCAACTTGAGCAGCTACCTGTATTAATGCAGCCACGACAACAAAAATAAAACTTTTCCCCCTCCAGCCAGGCAGGCTCAGAGGAGACGGCAAATGGGCTGTTGCTAAGGCAACCTCAACCTGGCCTTATGCACATCCTTGTTGTACTGATACGTTCAGTATGGACAGTTTCATTGTTATCCTGACAGAACCCTTATAGGAGCATTTACATACATTTCTATGAGACAGGTCTGAATTTCATTGCATGAATATAACAATATAACTGTGAGGCCATATATGAGAGACATGTTATCCTTTAGGATGTAATAAAGATGTTTTCACATGAAACAAACAAGTGAAAACCAAAATAAAAACCTACTGAAAACCAAGAGAAAATTAATTGGAATGTGATGGTATACATCTAAAACAACAGTGAATGGACACATGGATGTCTTAATCCACTGTGACAGCTGGAGTGGAAAGGCTGATGTAGATCAAAAAAGGAAGACACCAATGCAATTTCCATTACAGACACTGTTGATGAAAACTAAATTGTAAAAATTAAATACTCACACTAAGACCTTCCTCAGGTATAAAAGACAAGCAGAGAACAAGAGTTCACTAATTACACAAGCACTCAATCATTTTCTGAGAATAGCATGAGATTACAAAGCCTTTATTTAAGTGTCCTCAGCTGGCACCTGCACATTTATACCAATTGTGGATTTTTTCCTAAGCATTGCTGAGAAACATTACCAGTAACTGAGGGTTGACAGTAAAACATGTTGCATATTTCAGAAGAAGAGCAGAGAAGTTTTTAACATTAATAGTACATGAACACAACATATCAGACCTGATCACGAGCATTAACTCATTCAGATAAATGTCCCATGCCAGAGCCAAAATAGCTCTTAATCATATTTATTTTCTCTGCCATGCTGTCTGGTTTTTGATGGATACGTACTTCCTCATGCAGTTAGTCAACAGTCTAAAGTGTCATGACTGTGTGTATATATGAACATGGCATGTGACTCCTATAGTCATACAGCAGTCTAGCATATGTAGTCATTTGTCTAAATATAAGAACGTCCCGTGTACCTCATATGTCCAATGATACATGGCTGTGTTGCAGCTGGTTACTCATACATGTAATGAGGTCTGAATGAACAACAGGATGGTACTAGAGCTTCAGAGCTGATTATTCTTTTGCCAGAGCTACTGCTGCTGCTACAGAACTCCCCATAATTCAATAACTACAAGCCCTTAGGTATATGATTTTATGTGAAGCGCTCATCAACAATACAATGAGTTTTTAGTGTGACTGACCTTGCTGTGCTGCTTCTGTGGCAGAATTCAATCCAGAGTAAAATTCATTTAAATATTTAATTTTCACAGTTTTTCACAAACACATCTGTCTTTTGAACATCATATTTTATTGCAAAACACAAAATAAAATGGTTATCATGGCAAATCTATCACTCCTTAACCACAGACTAGTCTTAAATGCACCTCCATCGGTGACTGTGACTATCCTGCCATCAAATCTCTAAATGGCAACCAGATCACTCTGGCTGAGTCATACAGACACCTCAGAATTTGGCTTGTCTTGGCCAGTCTGCTGTCTGTCTTTCATGATCCATATTGAATAACTGACTCAAAAATGAAAAATCCAAATTAAAACTGGGCTTCTTGTGCAGAATCATGTGTATCTTCCTTCAACCATACAGCTATTGCTCAGTCAACCTTCATATCTGCTATTGACAATGGAGATATCCTGTATTATCATGCTGTTAAACCTTGTGTATTACAGTGCAATTTGCTTCATCACAAATGACAAATTTCATACCCATCACTGTTCTTTGTATCAAAGGGTTGGATGGACTTCTTTACAGTCAAAAAGAAATAGCCATCCTATGTTATTCATTTTACAAAGCTCTACTGTTAAATCCCAAACTACCTTACATCTCTCTACTCTCATTTAAATCCAGTAACTACAGAACACAGTCCAGTAACTACCTAACTTTAGACATTACTCTTGCACTAATGATGGTAGAACTGGTTTCAGGTAAATGCACTGCAGACTGCTCTTAAACTTGAGTGCTGCATTTCCATTGCAGAGTTTAAAGCTTTACTAGCTGATGTATTCTTTGATTTTTGCACCTGTTTTATGACGATGTAATTATGACATGTCCTGCAACACCAACATCAGGCTACATCATCCACTTTTACACAAGAATGCTCAAAATCTAATGAGCAGATCGGCAAAACAACAGTCACTGAGCGTTTTCAGATAAACCTTTTCATTTTAAAAACTTTATTAGCTTCATGAGCTTTCCTCTGGCACCCAACCATGGACTAAAATATCCAATTTAGCCAAAAGCTAGATCATATAGGCTGACTTCCATAAAATATACTGAGCATATTAAAGAACTGTGTCATTTTGCCGAATAACAGCCACTGTCTGACCACAAGTGTCAATTCCGCGATAATAGTAAATGGTGAAACACGGTTTAACAGTTGTACAAGAAGAGATACAATATTCATGAAGTCAGCAAAATGACTCAGTAATGCCAGTAACATTAGCCACAGCCTACTGGTCACACCATCATGGTAAAACCCCTCAGAGTATTAAATTGAGCAAAGGGTGCATCATTCGCTCAATGCTTTTAATTTAACAGCAAAAAATATTTTAATATTTAATATATCTTTCAGAAAGAAAGAATGTTGTTTGATCACACACTTTTAGAATGGAGTAAGGACGTAATCAGCCACCATATGGGTGTAATGAACATTGCTGCCTCTTGGGGGCATGGTTTTAACCCTTTAGTCTAATTTTTCAATCAGTTTTCCTCCAAATGTACAAAATGAACAAAATAAACTTTACTGATAGTAAAATGCAGCCAGTTCCCCTAACAACATCAACTGATGGGCATTTCATATAAAGCTTTCTATCTCCTAAGTTAGCAGCTTCAGCGGCCCTCAAGGTCAAGAACAATCTCTGCTGCTGTGCTAAGATCTCCGCTGTGTTACAATCTCTGGTGTGTTAAGTGCAGCCCAGGTGGGTGTCTGCAGGCCCGGCCTCTCATCGCTGACAGCTTGCTATCTATCTGATCGATGGATGCAGGTTTTTTTTTTTTTTTTCTTTGGCTTGCTGGGTTTCACCAGGCAGCAGAGTGCATTTTAAGCTCCTTTAAGACTCTTCCTCCAGATTCCTCTTTGGCCACTTTAGATAATGAGACCAGTGGACGATAGTGTCTCGATTGATCCACCATGCAGCACCCAACCCCCCTCTCAGCACCAAAGAACAGGCAGCAGGTCATGACCTCTGTGTAAATGTATGTGTGTGTGTGGGAGGGGGCTTGATGAAAGGCGGAATGGCTACAGGCGGTGATAGATTTATAATCCAATATTCCTTACTAAGGTGGTTACCAAGCGGTCGATGGCACTATTTTTAACTGCAGTGTTAGAAAATCTATTAATATCTCTATATAAGCTGACGTTGAGAATGCATTTCTATAATCCACGATGTTAGCTGCGGCAGCCATTATCTTAATGTTATGATTGATTTTCTGTTCTATTGCTGCTCTTCATTGTGTGCACTGAAAAGTAATCTGAGGCCCAGTTTGACAGTAAATTCCTGTTTTTTTCCCCCCTTCCCCTCTCTATGAGGCCACATCTGTTTCCCATTTTGGGGCATACTGTCAAAAGCTACCACAAAACTGGAAACAGCTCAGCTCCCAGAATCCTCTGCTGCGGTCATATGATCAAGCCGCTGACTCAGACCATCACGGGGCTTCTTGCTATTACAGAACCGAGTTGGCTCTGTAATAACAAGAAGTAATCTTACATCACAGCATTGGGGCACTGCAGAGAAAACTGAATGACATCCCATTTTCTATATGCATCCCCGATCCATATGACTCCCTCAGGGACAGATTACGTAACCCTAATGCCGTTCCCTGTTGAAATGAATTGTGTTTAAGCACTA